ATCTGGGCTACACAGTGAGTTCAAGGCCAGCCTGAACTGCGGAGTGAGACCCTGTCTCAAAAAAAAAGAAAAAAAAAAAAAAAAAAGAACCCTAAACCACAAACCTCCATGTGACAACCTAGATTTGTTCAGTGACACAGCAGCTGTATATTACATAGCCAGAAACAAGAAGTAGCAGTCTAACACGGTGTGGGACAACCCCCAGGTAGAGCCCAAGTGGGAGTGCAGGGATATAGGGGGCATGCAGTTCCCTACCACCCTAGGAGAGAATTGGTACCCTCTGGAGACCCACTTGGCGTGGGGCATTGAAACAAGCAGGATTAACCACACCCACACGAAGGTGCACAGCCCCAACCAGCCACAGCTCACCCTCCTGCTTCAGCTGACAGCTGTGCGGGAAGGCTGTCTGCAGCTGTTTGTCCTCCCAGCTGTGCCCGGCCGCTCAGCCCGCCAGGCGCCAGTTCCCTCTGGTCCCCATCTGACTGCGGTGGCTTCTCTCTGCCACTCTGCCCTGTTGTCCCCTGGCCCTCTGCCCAGCCTCAGCCTCTAAATCCAGGTGGGGCCCTACATTCAGGGGGCTCCTGATGTCCACCAATAACTGGGCCCCTCTGCTGAGCCACAGGATGTCTCCTAGGGGCCTCCAACCAACAAGCCCTGAGGGGCTCTCAGCTCCACCATCTACACCCAGGCCCCTCACCCTTGCCACAGCCAAACCCTTTCCACCCCCACGGACCACCTGTGTCTCCTCCGGGACATCCCTGGTGCCCAGCCCCTGGAGTCCATCTCCCCACCTCCTCCTCCCTAACAGAAGCCTCCTGCCCAGGGGCACCAGCATCCAGCATCCTCCCGGCCTCCTCTACGCCCTTCCCACACCGGGGTCTCTACACGTCCATAACCAGGCTGTGAGCTGTGTCCTCTGCTGTTATGATTTGGATGAGCATCCCCAGGGGCTCATCTGTTGAATGCCTGGCCCCCAACCCACGACCTCCTGAAAAGTGGTAGAACCTAGGAGGGGTAGGACCAGAGTGAGGTGTGGTGGTGCATGCCTATAATCCCAGACTCGGGCAGGCTGAGGCAGGAGGATTGCAAGTTTGAACTCAGCCTGGGCAATTTATAAGGCCCTGTCCCAAAATAAAAAAAAAAAAAAAATAGAAAGGGCCAAGGGTGTAGCTCAGTGGTGAAGCACAGAGTACTCCGGCGTTCCATCCACATTGTAAGTAATAAACAAATCTAGAAATTGAACAAGGTGGGACCTGACCCAAGGCTTCCAGCTATAAGAAGTGGCCTGAAGGGGACACCGGGGGATTGGCCCCTCCTCTGTCACTCCAGATTGACAGAAGACTGAGGAAAACACCTCCTCTAACACACACCCAAGCAACCACACAGTGGGGTCTCATCCACCTGCCGGAATTTAGCAGCATCATTTCCTCGGGAGACTGTGCCTCGCTGGGTAGCGCAGGCTGTTCTTGAACTTCTAGTGATCCTCCTGCCTCAGCCTCCTGAGTGCTGGGATGACAGGTGTGGGCTGCCGGGACTGGCTTGAAAATAAACCTGTTTTCATTGGCACGGCCTAGCCTGTGGCCCTGTGTGATTTGCTACGGAGAACAGCCCAACGCGGGGCACCTCAAGCAGCCGGCTCCTAGACATGGAAGGCAGAACTTTGGCTCCAGGGACAGGACAGAGGCTGGGATAGACTTGGCCGGGGGAGGGGGCAACAGCCCCCAGGCAGAGCAAATGTGTCCCGCCAGCTGAGGAAGGCACATCTGACACCGGTGGGTCGACCCGTGCCTTTCAGGATCTATGTGATTTGCCACAGTGACAAAAAGACAAAACCAAAACAGAAGAGAACGCAGCCAGGCAGCAAGGTCAAGGCCAGCCTGGACCACACGCTGAACCCAGTGTCAAGAAAAGAAAATCAGCCGCTGACTCCTGAGAGTCATCAACAGCCTGCCCGGCTCTACCCCACGCGTGAATTCCCAAGGTCACAGGGGATTTGTGGACCGAGTTAATAAACAGCTAACTCCCCGGAATAAACAAAATAATAGCAGGCAGTTTAGGTTGGCGCAGGCCTGGCTCTGCCCCCGCACGCATGGCCTCTGCTGGAGGTGGGGGAGGAGGGGTTACTTCCTGTGTCCCTGCCCAGGGCAAGGACAGAGGGGACAGTGGCTGAGAAGCTGAGTGCCCCAGCAGGGACACAGAGCACTGGCTGGAGACCAGGCTTGATGGCGCACGCACACAATCTGGCCCTTGGGGAGACTGAGGCAGGAGGATCTCAAATTGGAGTCAGCTTGGACAACCTAGGGAGACCCTGCTCCAGCTCATGAACACAGGGGCCAACCCCAAGGCCAGCCGGGCTGGCAGTGCGGCCCATGGGGACCCTGGGACCAGGATGTCCCACCACCTTGTCCTGGGGCTTCCTGCCACGATGGATGGAGAGGGCTTGGGCCAAACTCTGGGGTGGAACTGAGCCTCAGGTATGGCTTTGGGGACACTTCCCCCCCACACACCAGGGGGTGGATCTCCAGTGTCCCACAGCCCCCACCTCCATCACTTCTCAGTTCTGGGCTGGCGCCAGGCAGAGGAGCTCCCGCCGAGGCGGCCCAGGGTTAGGGCTGACTCACTCCGTGTTGCAACGGTGTACTTTTCCGTTCGCTGGGGCTGAAAAACCACTGGACATGGGTGATGGCAGGAATAAGGACAAGGCCAAGGGACAGCCGAGCATGGAGCTGGGTCTCGGGCCAGGGCCTCTCTCTCCAGAACAAAGGAGCCACAGAGAAGCCATTTCTCTGAGGGAAGCCTTATTCTGTTGTCTCACCTGCCTTGTCTCCATCCTCCTCAGCATTGCCCAAAGCTAGAAAACTTCTATACATCCTTCAGGGACCAACTTCTACAGCCCCTCCCTCAACTCCAGGCTCAGCAAGTACATTCCAGCTCTGATTTGGCATACCAGAACAACAGGCTTAGTGTCAGTGCTGGACCGGGGCAAAAAGCCAAAGCTCCCCATAGACCTAGGGACCTGCACCAGGGATCATGCCAGCTTCACACCAACTTGGGTCCAACTACGAACAAATGCAAATATCAGACCTGCTTAGGGACCTAGGCACAGTGTCCCAGGGAGGGCCCAAAGGTCCTGGCCAAGGGAAGAAGGCTGCTGGGATAGGTCGGATCTTTTAACACCATTTCACAGCCTTCCCCTGCCCGGTCAGCAATGAATGCGACACTTCTGACAGGCAGGGAGCAGGAGCCAAAGCCTCCTTCCTTTTCTTTTTTTGGTATCAGGAATCAAACTCAGGACCTTGCGCTTGCCAGGCAGGTACTTGAGCCACTGAGCTATATCCCTGGCAAATTCTTCTTTCTTATCAATTATAGCAGTTTCTCCGCCTGCAGTTTTTGCTTGTTTTGTCCTGGGGATGAAATCCAAGATGTTTGCACTGAGCTACAGCCCCAGCCCCTTTCTTCTTCTTCTTCTTCTTTTTTTTTTTTTTTTTAATTTTGTGACAGGGTCTTGCTAAGTCGCTAAGTTGCCCAGGCAGAGATTGAACTTGTCATTCTCCTGCCTCAGCCTCCCATAGAGCCACAGACTGGCATCACCACGGCCAGCTGAGAGATCGTCTTTGATCATCAAATTTCTTGAGCCCTACTGTGTGCTAGGGGTGAGGACTGCTCCCCGAGGAACAGCACGCTGCGTGGACACTGCTGGGAGGGAACAGAAAACCCACCACACACAACCCACTGCACACACATGCATACACACACACACACACAGACCACAGAGGAAACCCAAGCAGGAAAAGTGGCTTGTCCCTGGCCCATGGCTGTCCCATGGCACAGGAGTAGACAGTGAAGATGAACATTCCCAAATAAAAGATCTGGAAGACAGCTAAGAATTCCACAAACGCATAGTCCTCTGCCACTGCCCAGGCTGGCCCCCATGGGGCATTTAACTTGGCATCTGCAAGCCCAAGGGGAAGGAAAAGCCAGTGGTCTGTCCGCAAAAGCACACAGGACGTGGGTGTGCTCACTCGTTTAAAAACAGATGTGTTGGGCATGGTGGTGCACACAAGTAATTCCAGCACTCAGGAGGCTGAGGCAGGAGGGTCACAAGTTTAAGGGCAGCCTGGCCTACATAGGGAGACCCTGGTTTTATTTATTTATTATTATTATTATTAAGTTTTAAGAAAAGTTGCTTGAGGGTGGAGAGCAAAGGGTGTCGGCATGGCTTGGCACCTTCCTAGCTGTTTGAGTCAGCTGCCACCGCTGCGGTGGCTGTATGCGCTGTGCCCGGAGCCACAGCTACCGGGACAAGCAGGCTCCTGCTTGCAGCTGTTTCCTGCGCTTTCTTGGGGCCGGGAGGCCTTCTCGGATGGGGGTCCAGGAAGACCCCAAGGCTGGGTGGGCGGCAGAGACGCGCTAAGAAAGCCCAAGACTCCTCCCCGGTCTCCTTCCTTCTCCCCGTGGGCAACACCTGCTGCGCCTGCCCAGCCCCAGCCCGTCCGCTCGCTGCAGCGGGTGAAATCGGGCCGGGGCGTCTCTGATACCCGCCTCAGCTCTCTGGCCCCGGGTCCCCGCGTGTCCCCTCCTTGGATGCGGCCGGTCTGCTGGCGTCCACACCCGCGTCCACCTGCAGTCCCCGCCCGGGAAGCCTGGGGGCTTTGGCGACGCGCGGCTGACAGCGCCGAGTTGGGTCGCGAGGACAAACCCGGAGCTCCCATCTGAGTCCCGGCTCGGGCGGGCGCGTGGGGCGCGGAGGGCGGGAAGCGCAGACGTCAACTTCCCCTGAGGAATCGCCGCGGGCTGCGCGTCTCCGCCGAAAGCTCCCCGGAGGGGACCCCGGCGCCGGCGCCGCGGGGAGGGGGGAACCCGAGCTCGCGCTCTGGGGAGACCCGGACCCCGCGCCCGAGCTCAGCGATGGGAACTGCGCCTCCAGCCCGCCCGCCCGCCTGGGCAAACTTTCCACGACCTGCGGTCGCGGGCCGCCCCGGGGTTCCCGGCCTGGTTACCTGGGTCCGAGGTCGCCGAGTCCGTGAAGGGGACAGAGGACGCGCGCTCCCGCCGGGCCCGCACCTGGAGGCGCTCGCTTGCTAGCCGGCGCCGGCCCGTCCCGCCCAGGCTCCTGGGCAGGCGGGTGGGGCGCCCGGGGAGGAGCCGAGGGCGCCGGGCTCCCAGTCCCACCACGTGCCGCCGGCGGGGCCGCACCCCAGTCGCAGCCGGGCCCCTGGCACCCGTCCCAGTCCCCCAGGCCTGCAGGAAGGCCAGGAACGCAGGTAGGAGAAGTGTGGGCTGCCCGCGTGGGTCCGCCACCCTCTGGGTGCCCTGCAGGCTGAGAGGAGCAGGCCTGGCCTCTGGCTGGCTGGTGGACACAGGGACGAGAGGCAGAGGGACACAGGTTCCGGAGGCCCAGGCTGTGGTCACCACCAGGTGCTAAAGGAACAGGTGGCAACTACTTCCCGCTGCTGCCCCCTGGGCCAGGGGACCTGGTGACATGCCCCACTTGCACAGAAGTGGGCAGGAGGCGGCCGACAGTCTCCTCTCCGGTCTCCTCTCTCTGTTTGCCTAGCTGACAGCAAAGTCCTAGTTTGGCCACATACCTGGGCCATCCCCTCCTAGCTCCCTGACCTTGGGCAACTCCCTGTCTGCGGCCGGGTGTGGCGCCGGTCTCCACCAGGGTACAGTGCATTGGCTAGGCCCTGTTTATGCGTCTAGCAGGAAGGTGCTGGGCGCCTGGCTGTTCAAGGGTCTCTGTGCCCTGTGCGCGTGCATACCTTGGCTCCTGCGCTCACAGCTAAGTTCTCAAGCGAGCAGGCAGCCTAATCTGCCAACCGAGCCTGGCAAGGGTGCCTGGCATGGGCGGGGCTTGGGCACTGCTCAGCGTGGAGGTCAGTGGCCCTGGGTGAAGCCCTCATCAGCTTCTCCACAGGAGGAGGGCAGCTGAGGCTGAGACAGGAAGCTCCTCAGGACACAGGCCATTTGCTTCCTGGGACTTTACTCTGCCTGGGCAGCATCAGGTGGTGGAGACAGAAGAGGGTGCGAGGGGCCCCAGCCTCACACTGAGTACCCTCTGCCAGCTCCCAAAGCAGTATGCTGTCCACTGGAGGCTCTGGATGGGAGGAGGCAGCACCCAAGCTAAATGTGGGTGACTGGTGGCTCAGGGTCCCATAGGAACCCAGGCCTGTGCTTAGCAGCTTTACCTGGCTAGAATAAGATGCCAGGTAGGGCAGGGCAGATGCTGTAATGCCAGTGTGAGGGGGGGTGCAGGGGAAAAGGAGGACAGAGATGGGGTGAAGGCCACATGGAGAGGAATCGGGATAGTCCATTGGGTTCAGTTACCTGTGTCACAGGGAGGAGGAGAAGGCCCAGAGAGGGGAAGTGACCTGCCCAAGGTTACATGCCCTAGAAATTGAGCAGCAGAGCTGGACCCCACCCGGCACTGGGTGCCCCACTTTCCACATGAGAACATAGAGCCCAGAGAGCCTGGGCCTGGGCACAACCACTTCTACCCTTGCTGCTTGGGCTGCAAGACGGGGGGAGAAAGGGCCACCGGGGAGAGCATACGGCACGTGGGGCCTTCCTCCACCACATCTGGGGCAGGGGTCGAGTGGCACCCACGTTTCCCAGGACTGCCGTCACAAACTGGCATGAGCTGGTGGCTTCCAGTGACACAGCCCCACTGTCACTGGAGGACACAAGTTGAAGAGTATAGGAAGCGTTACTCTAGAGTCTCTCTTTTCCCCTCATGCCTGCTTCTTGGACCTCCAGGGCTCCTGTCCCTGCTTCTGTCTTCCCTGTATCCCCACGGCCGCTGCTCTCTGGGTAAGGATCCTGTCCTGGGGTCAGGCTAACCTTAAGACCCCTCCTGCCTTGTCCCTGCACAGATCCTTTGTCTAACTCTTCTCAGTCACAGGCAGCGGAGGGAATATGCACACGGGGGGCATCACCCAGCCCCCAGCAGCACTTTCCTCCTTCTCCAGGATGTGTGGGGCCCCCTCCCTCTCCTGGTTGTTCCCGGCTTTGTCACTCGCTTGTGTTAGCTTTCCAGTCAGAGTGTCGGTAGTGTCGGTGTTCTCTGGTGTTGTCCCAGAACACGAAGAGACCAGAGCCACCTGGGGACCCTGGGGTCATTCACCTGGCCCTGGCTCCTCCTGTCCTCTCACATCTGACACAGCCTCAGCCTCCTTCGCACCTCTTCCACTGATGTCCTTCCTCAGCCTGCCTTCCTGACAGTCAGGGACCACTGTAGGGACAGGGGCAAAAGAGCTCCAGGGACCCTTACCTGTCACTCAGCAAAGCCTGATTTGTGTTTTCTCCTAAGAGGGATGACTTCAGAAGAGTAGTTTTTGCTAAAAACCATGACTCTTAGCCAGGCAGGTGATCCCAGCCCTGGGGAGGCCGAGGCAAGCAGGAGCACTGCTGAGAGTTTGAGGCCCGCCTGGGCTACACAGCTCAAGGCCAGCCTGGACTGCGCAGCAAAGCCCTGTCTCATTTTTAAAAAAGAACAATTCTTTTTTTTTTTTTAAACATTTTTTAATTTCTTTTTTTTTAAATCTTTCTATTTATTTATTTATTTATTTATTTATTTATTTAATTTCATTTATTCTGTGTGTGTGGCCAGCTCAGCCCACCAGGGGGCGGGGCTGGCTGGCATGTGGTGCTGGGTGATTGAACCGTGGTCCCCGTGCCCTGCTTAGCTTGTTCTAAGTAGGTGTTTTAGACCACTGAGCCATCTCACCAGCCCATAAAAAAGAACAATTCTTGGGGCCCCTGGTACGCAGCTGGGTGGCTCCTCTGCCTGCCCTGTGCCTTGGTGGCCAGGGCCACCATGCCTATGTCCTCACCACCTGCCCTGGTGCTGTGAGCCCAACACACAGCAAAGTTGCAAACAAACAACTAAGTGGGTCTGATGGTGACGGCAGACGGGGCTCTCCCAGTCGCCCTGCGCTGCAATCACACGGACTTCCTGCATTACCGGTGGCGGTATTGGGCGTGCTCCCTCTCCCAGCCCGACCTGTGGTCATCACAGATGCTCAGGCCAAGTGAATATGGGGGGGAGGGGGGAGGGGGGAGGTGGGAGGTGGGAGGCGGCTCTGGGGCAGCATCTCCCTCTGCTTCCCAGGCATCCACTGCCTTGCCGGCCGCACAGAACCCAGAGCCATCTTCCTTGTCCCTGGACCCGCCGGGCTACATCAGGGCCTGCTGTCTGCAGGCCCTGGACCCTTGTCCCCACAACCTGCACCTGAAGCACGGAGCCTAAGTAAAAAAGCCTCAAAACCCCAGAAAAGGCCTTTGTGCAGTAGTGGTGCCGTCCCTTGTGGGAGGCAACCTAAATGTCTGGCTGTCAGCGGTGCCACGCCATGCCACGAGTCACGGGACACACAGAACACGGTGGGGGTGCAAAAGTGCACCGGGAAGGAAGGAGCCCTACTGGGGCACTGTGTGTGTGAGTGAGGCCGAAGAGCTGCAGGGAAACCGGGGAAGAAACCAAAAGACAAGAAAACCCAAAGGCTCACTTAGTAGGTTGTGGGGCTCCTGGGTGAGTTTTGGGTCTGCTCTGATACTGTTGTCTGTGTGTGGATGGATGCATCATGACAATTTGTGTGCTTAGGCCTGTGCTCAGTGCGGGGCTTTGTGTTTGTTTGTTTGTTTGTGGTACCAGGGATCAAACCAAGGGGCTCCCCCCTACTGAGCTATGCCCCCCTTGTCTTTCTTTTGAACCAGGGGCTTATCCCATTGCCCAGGAAGGGCTTGAACCAGGATCTTCCTTCCTGCCTCCCAAGGAGCTACCCAGGTGCTAAGGCAGCTGCTGTGGCCTGTCCGGATACTTTGCGTTTGGAAGAAGCCTGGGCTGCAGATGCACAGGGATCCAGGCCAGGTGGCAGAGCTGTGGGGTCAGCTCTCTTAGAGGGGTGCGCTATCCTTGTGGGGAGATCGACCATGGGATGGGCCTTGCGGGGAGAGTCCATGCAGCTCAATGCTCTACATTCGGGTTCTCTGGAGTGTTTCACTCCATAATAAGGATATTTGTGGCTGTGCCCGAAGTACTGCCCAAGGCCCAGGGCCGACTTTGCTGCGCCTCCCCCATCTGAGGACACCTCTGTCCACTGCCTTAGTGGCTGGGAAGCCAGAAAGGACCATGAAAGAGGCAGAAAGAGCTGGGCATGGTCAGGGGCCTCTGCCTGTGACCCCAGTTACCCTGCTGCACTCCCTTTGTAGGTGGCACTGGGGACACTTCTGGAAACAGGGCTGGAATGGCGCAGATCCTTGGGCCCCTGACTGTCCTGAAGCCGGGGTATGGGAGTTTCCAAGTCATAGTCTCAGGAAAGAGTTGTTCCCACCTGGCTTAGGAGCTGGCAAAGCCAGGAGCTGGACATGTCCCTGCAGGTTGCCCTCCTGTGGCTCGGCCTGGCAGGCCAGGGACAGCTCAGTGTGACCATAAGCCCTGTGACAAGTGCAGTCTGCTGTGGCATATAAGTCCCCACTTACACAAACACAGCTGGGGTTGAATGTGACCTTCACTTTAACCAGAGGGTTTAAAGCATAACAGCAGGCCAGATGTGGTGGTGTACACCTATGATCCCAGCCCTCGGGAGGCCAAGGCAGGAGAGTCACCTTGAGGTTAGGACCATCCTGTGCTACACACTGAATTCAATGCCAGCTTGGACTACGTAGCAAGACCCTGTCTCAACAACCAAGAAAAGAAAAGAAAAAAAAAAAAAAAGGCTATAAGAGCATGTGCTTCCCAAGGTTTTTGTTTGTTTGTTTGCTTGTTTGTTTTGTTTTGGGCCAGCGACAGTAGTTTGCTGAACTCTCACCAAACCCTGTGTCTACCGTGGTCCCATTTCACAGATGGGTTAGCTGAGATGAGACTCCTTTCAGGTTACTGCTGCAATTAAAATCAGGAGTGGTCCAAAATTTGTGTTATCAAGTGCCGTATCAGGCTGCTTCTCTTAGCAATCAGAGGGAACGTTTAGATTGTTCCAAAGTTAAAAATACAACAACAACAACAACAACAAAAGCACCGTCCTTTCTTAGGACACACACTTGCCCTGAAGCTCCTGGCAACACAGCCAGGAGGCACCTTCCTTGGTCGATCTACCAGCTTCCACGGGCAAAAATAAATGATGATTACTGAAGTAGTGTTAGCCACAGGCTTTCTCTTGTTTTTTTGAGACAGGGTCTCACTACATAGCCCAGGCTGGCCTCAGATTTGAAGCAATCCTCCTGCCTCAGCCTCCTCAGTGCTGGCATTATAGGTGTGGCTCACTATGCCCCACACAATCAGGCGTTTTGTTGGATTCATTTGATAGCCAATGCCCAGGGCCTTAGGTCCATTTCATACATTAGAACACATTAGCTCGGAAGGGGCTGAGGGACTCTATTAGCCACTCTGAGCATTGGAACTAAGAGGGCGGTGGCCGCCTGTGGTCTCTCCGAGGACTCCAGGCTCTGGCTGAATTCTGTGCCACCTGCCCCGCCCAGCTTTCTTTATCCTTACCTTAACTATTTTGTTTCCTGACCCGTGTGCTAGCAGCTTCCCGCGGTGCAGCCTGTCCGGCGGCGTCTGCCCTGCAA